ATGGGGAAGGACAACTCTACAGGTGCGCCCAGTGCTTATAACCCAGCAGTGGCTGCTGGCCACTGTAGGGATTAAGAGATCGGGCCAGCAGACCTTTGGGCTGACCCAAACAAACTTTTTTTAACTTCAAATGTACTTATGATGCTATAATTCTGTAGCAGGGGCAGCTAGAGGGTGATTCAGTTGCCTAAATGCCAGCATCTGGTACCACTGAGTGTTCTGCCATCGCTTCAGCTCTTCTGCCAGGAGAGCTCAGGTAAGTCCTGTGTAGCTCCATGCAGATACATGGGGTGTCCTTGGTGGCTAAAATGGCCCCAAGTACATATGGTTGGGCTCTCACTGTTTCTGCGATGAGGTCAGAACTGATGGGGCAGGCCTCTTTGAACAGCAGTACTTTTGCAAGAGTTGAATGTTCAGATTCTGGTGGTCACAAGACACAAGGTTTTGGGCACTGCAGCATTAGGAGAGGGTAAATGACAGTACTTGGCATTAACCTGTTTTGAGATCTGGCCCTGGCTCTTTAGTCTGTTGACTCACCCCTGTACAAATCTGCTCTTCACAGCCAGAGAAATGAGATCTTCGCTAAGGCAACAGCAGATCATGCGCCAAGGCGGCACCATCTCAGGGCTCAACATGTGCAGAGGAGCCTGACAATAGCTAGTCCTTCTGGGTGACAAAAGTCCCTTCTGAAGTAAGCAGGCCATGGAGAGAAGGGGATTTGGGACGTCACTAAGCTCTCTAGACCGATGGTGTATCACCAGTGTGTTGATGAGTAGAGTGAACGAGAAGGTGGCTGTTGGGGTAGGTAGGCCTGTGCTGAATTGTGCTGCCATGTAAAGCATCTGACTTACATGCCACCAGCAAGTTTCTGGAGACAGGAACCAAAACAGCCCCTGGTAATTTGGAGAGGAAGCTCCAAACAACAACAAAAAATACATCCTATTTGTGGTTATTTTAGAAATGATACCACACAGACTGAAGTAATAGCTGCAGTCAGACAGGCTCCACGGGCTGACAAGCGAAGCACTCCCCTCACTGCAGCTAATGCAGCTTCTCCTCCCCGTAGCCTCCAGCTACTCCTGCAGCCCGTGTCCTAGAAGAAAGAGCTTCTGCCCTCTCCTGTACAACTACTGACATTGCTTCCTCAGCGCCTTTTTCCCCTGTGTCAAATTGTGCCTGCATGATCCCATATACCTGTAAATATCCACATTTCAGAGGATGGGGACATAAAAAAATGATCAAGACTTCCCCTCTTGGCATGTGCCTGTGCCAAGAGCAGAGGCGTCACAAACACTCTTCCTTCCCCAGCCTGCTCCACCACTTTGTTGTGATAGTCTTTAGAGAGGCCTCTTTGAGGAGCAGCTAACCAGAATCTTCTCCTCTCTGGTTTTGGCTCCCTTTTCTTTGCCCTCGTCACTGAGGACAGATTGTTCTGGTTTTCGTTGCCACAAGCTGCAGTCTGCTTTCTTGTTCTCCCTTACCTCCTCCTCTCTGCAGTGATCCAGCCCAGCTTTTCAGCATTAAAAGGTACTTGATCCTACTAAATGCTGGGTCCATTTAACTTCTCTGGAGGAAAGAGGGAGGGGGAAGTGAGCACAGAAGTTTCTCATGCGTCTCAGACCTCCATTGTATTGTTTGACTGTGGCTGACAGAAGCCCATTAATATCTTTGAAAAATGTGAGAGAATCAAAATTAAAAAGAAAACCTATGTTAAGTATTTTCCGCTTTGCATAAAATCTTTTAAATGTCAAGTTTTATTATTTCCAGGTGCAGGATAAAAATAATTGATTTTTGATTAACATTTGTTGCTGAACTTAAAAAGCTGAAGTATCTAGTGTTTTCATTTTTCATTCCCCAACTGAAAACAGATTTGTGGTACATTTGCAGGAAAAAATACTTCAAAATAACTACACCCTTTTCTGGAATGCTCCTGATCTCAAATCACCTTAAAAAACTTAACAAGTGACACATGTTTTTAACAGCAGACATAGTGCTCAAAAAAAAAAAAAAAAAAATCTGTTTGTGCTTCTGCAGAGTGAAGGGAAAAGGTAAGGTAGGACAAGGTAAAGGTAAGGAACGCTGAAGATGTGTAGTTGGGCAAACCGATCCATTGGGCAGGCGCTGCCGGCACCATGCACCTTCCGGGCTGGAAAGGCTCCTCGGCCCAGCGGGATGAGCTGAGCGTCGCTGCTGTGGGGTCAGACCCACGCCAGGAGACCGGGCTGCGTCTCGTTATGAGCAGGGCAGGGGACTGTCCCCAGCAGGCAGGTTGGATGTGACCACCCTCTTTGGAAGGAGTTCAGTAGCACGGGCATGGTTTGCCCTATGCTAGGTGGTCCTGGCTCTTGAGAACAATCATGAGCACAATTAATTTCAGCTGGATAACTACAGACCACACAGGGAGACAGCATTTTTGGATATAAAAGCATTTTATTAGGATTGGGAGTTCAATTTAATTGGATTACAGCTTGGTTTAACATGGGAATACTTTTCCCTTGATACTATTACTTACTGTGGGGGTTTCTTTTTTTGGTGTATGTGAAACACTCTCAATTTTAATGGCAGGAAAAAACCCAGAGGTAAAATTAATCTTCTTTGGTTTATAATGTTCTGATACTTCATGCCTTTCTTTTTTTTCAAACCTGCTAATTCAATTGTATTGAAAATTAAACAGCATGCTGATTCCCTTACCAAGTGCGAGCAGACATTTTCATACCTGGACTTCTCACTGCTGGAGAACTTCTCCACAGTGATGGTCACAAATAGCACATTAAAAAACAATGCTAGTGCAGGTGAACTATGGCAACATATCCAGTGGCTTCTCTCTTTTCTTTGAGGCACTGAGCATTTCTTATACCTTCCCTCCTGCCTAAATTCAACAAGAAATCTGCATTTTTGGAAACCGAAATTGACAAGCTCTGTCTCTGTCATGAGTGTCTAGATCATGTTAGATCTCACAGATTTTTTTTCTTAGTAGATTCAGCCCAGTGCTGAACCACAAACTGAACATACAGTTCAGCCTGAACAAAACCAGAAATCAAACAGGTACATTTTCAGAGCTAGTTAGAAAACAAGGAGGGAAAATTCCAGGGTTCTGATGAAATCTCTATCACCTTTCTGATAAATTCTGAATTTATGGAGCTCTGCTTACAGCTTTGTGCACAGTAACAGAGCAGGTACAATCAAATAAACTTAATCAAAGCATGATGCAATCTGAGACACCTGAAAGCAGGTGAATAATTGTTCAGATTCATAACTCATTAACCAGCTCAGACATGGCACAGTCCGTTTTTCAGAGGAAGTTGCTGAAGGTGGACTGAACCTCCGCATGTGTAGGCGTATGCCTGGGCTCACTGGCAGAGAGCAGGAAATGCAGCAGAAGGCAGCTGAGTATCCAGATGTTCAATTAACTTATTCTTTTGCTTTCAAGAGCCTGCCCTTGCTGTTCCGATCTCTATGCACCCCTCTGAAAGTCAATGCAAATTCTGCATCTGAAGAATTGCTGTACTTGGCTGGGATGCTGAATTTCAAGGACCAAGTTGTTATTCAGTGAAAATTACTTCTCCAGTCTCCGTGTCTCCATTTTGCCTTTGCAGTGTGTGCTGGCAGACGGCAGGGGCTGCTCCTCCTGCGCAGGCAGCCCAGGTCATATTCGGAGCCCTTCTCTCTTCTGTATTCCCAGGAGGCCTCTGGAGATCAATTCACAAAGCAAAGACAGCAGACGGGGGGATGTTACATTGTCACAAAGTCAATATGTTTGAATCACTGAATGATTAAATAAGCATTGTTTCCTGCTTGTGCATTAATGTACAATCAGTTGCCAGATGAGAGATACACAGAGTCTTGCACAAGCTACCGTTTAGTACCAGGAAGTACCTGTCGATGAAAGATAAGCAGCCCGCCAGGGTGCAAATGTTATTACTCCAGTAATTGCCTAAAATAATTTTCTGCTCTTGTCAGGAAATGATGCACTTATTCATTTTTGCTCCATGTTTTATCCATGGGCAGAACTGGGCTCTCTCTTCATTTCCCATGCACTCTTGTGCTGATTTGTAGGGGCTGCCTTTGCCATCAGCCCTGACCCTGTGTGTTCAGCTTGCTGCTGCTGCCGGGGAGGGCGAGGGAGTGTAGCACAGCCTATTTTTTACTCCTAAGGAGTCTATCAATACAACGATTCCTCCTCCAAGTGTTACACTATGTCACTGATAATGTTTGTGACCTTCTGCAGACAGAGTTGTTGATAGCTGTGTCTAGACGGAGAACAATTTTTCCTCATCAGATGGGTGTTTAACCTTTTCAGTTTTCTTCTTGCTGCAAATGAAGACAATCTCAGGGTCTCCCCCGAGGTTCTCACCACCAGCCGGTCTTCCAAATGGCTGAAAAAAAATATGCCAGGAACTTGTTTTTTGTGAAACACAGTCAACGGGCTTTTACTTATTTTCTCCCTATCGTGTTTTGAGTAAAGGATTGAACCAGCAAGTTTTTTCAACCCAATCAACTGTGGATCAGAGAAACATGTTACCAAAACACAGCTGTGCCCAAGGCTGGCATGGCAATGCTGCACCCTCCTGGAGGCATCCCCAGGCATCTTGGTGAGGGGCAGCACGAGGTGTCTCCCACTCTCCCCCCCAGCCCGTGTGGGCAGAGAGGAGAAGGAAGGCATTGATTTAAAAAGAGGTTAAATAAAAGGACTCTTGCGACCCAGCGGTAATCACCCAGGGAAGCAGTGTAATTGCAGGTTGGGCCAGCCGCAGTGTCACCCTGGAGACCGACTGGTAAACTCCAGGCCTCCCAAAAAAGGGGGGGGGGGCAAGGCAGCGAGGTGTGTAAACAAGTAAAACGAGACAGACAAGGAAGCTGCAGCGAGCCCGAGGCCCTGCATCCCCTCCACTTGCCGCCTGAGCCCTGCGAGTGCCGGGGAGTGGGGAGGCAGGTGGGGCACGACACCGTCCCAGCCCCCCAACACCTCCCAAGTGCTGGGTGGAAACCGGGGTTGCAGGATAGCATTGCAGGTAAAGGATTTTTCTCTCTTCTTTGCTAGCTCGCAGTGAGCTTCTCTGATCAGTTGAGCTTGCACTTCAGCCAAGAGTAGGTTTTTTTAATATACATATATCGTGTTATATATATCTTGCAATACAGATAGAGAGATATATGTATGCACAAAATTGCAAGAGCAGTAATGCCCCACCTGCCAGAAGATGGGAACCAGATGATGCTGGGAATGGTGGAGAGACCGAGGGGAGCCTGCTACAGAGGGATCAGTGGGGCTGGGAAGCCACATTTTTAAGGAGGTGTTTAGATGGTTGCTGAATACACAGTTTTCATGCTTTTAATAATTCAATGAAGTTACTAGGAATAAACCAAATGCGTGCAATTGGTTTAGGCCACTTAATCCATTCCCAGACTCTGAGATCTTCCCCTCAGGGGTGGTGTGCGACTCCTGCATTTGGCCGGGACAGGGGCTTTCAGGAGCCTATCATAATCCAGAGGCTAGTATGGGTTTCTGTCTGCCACACTGGGCAGGCATTTCAGGATTTTCACAGGAGGCTCTTGGGCTCAGCTGAAGGATAACGTATAAACCAATGGTGCTGAGCTTAGACTAAATCTGATTTTTTCCAGGTTTAAGCCTCAGGCTTAGAGGGATGTAAAGGGATCTGGTTGCTGAACAGCCTAAGGTTCTTCTGGAAAAATCCAACCCAAAATTTCAGGTTTTGTATTCATTAAGAAGAAATGCAATCATTTCCGTTTAGCCTGCGCAACACAACCTTGCCCATAGAAACAAACAATGCTGAGAATGTGGGGTATTGTAATTGCTCATAGCCCAGGCTGTTACACAAAACTCCCTAGCAGAATTAAATTAATTAGATCCTTTTTCATTTAACTGTGGGAGGCATTTGATGATCTTGGAAGAGAGATAAGAATTAAAAACATGCAAAATTATGGTTATGACCTTTCTGTGTTTTATCAATGGTTATTAATACATAACACGTTTGTACGGTATACAGAGAACTGTTACATTCTGCAAATCCTGAGTGTATCTTTAATTACTTCACATTATCCAAAAAGGGGCAAAAGCAAAACGAAAGGAGAGGAGAGGGCATGTGAATCACTGTGATTCCTCCATCCTTGCTCTGATTCAGAATCTGTTTTCTTACAATGCGGTATAGTTTTTTAGCAGCCTAGGAAGGGTTTATCTTTAGCTTAAACCAGCAGCCAACAGAAATAGGGAAGTGGTAGATGTGTTACTATGGGCCAGGCTTGCATGTAGCAGGGTTTATATTTAACTGGTTCTCTGTGTTTACTGAATGTATAGAAAGGATTCTCAAACACATACTGCTGTGTGACGCAGGAATCCAGGTCATAAGAGCCTTTAGGATAATGTGTAAGAGTGCTGTCACTTTACAAACAGACTTTAACTGCTGAGTTTTATATAACGACATGGTGTTGGAGGTTTTGTTATTGAGCATTGCAGCGGATGGAGATTGCAAACAGCAGCAGAAATATTTACTGTTAATGTTTTTAACCATGATACATGGGGGAAAAAAATGGGAATATCTCTGCGTATGGCATTACTGAGATTATTAGCGTGCTCTGTCCCACCTCAAAAGGAACACTGGAAAAAACTGGAAAATCTCAGGAACAACAGAATTATCTAAGATCTGGAAACTCATTTTGTAGCAAGAGTGCTAAGCTCTGTCTAATTACTTAGCCAAAGAGGGTTTAAAAGGGACCTTCAAGTGTTTGCATCTGGACAAATTTTTAATAGGTAGCTCTTCAATCTAGTAAAAGAGAGTAAAGCAGCATCTAATGATGGGGGAAATTCAGATTAGAAACAAAGAACATATTTTAAAAAGAAAATGATTCAATACTGGAGCAACTTAGCCTGGAGATGGTGAGTTCTCTGCTAGAAATGCTTGTAGGTGTAGAAGCAAACTTTATACTTACTGCAGAGATAACTGAGGATTGGCCACTTTCAGTGGCTTTTATTGAGGTACAGGAGATCATAATAGATATCGTATCAGATGATCCCTCCCTAGCCTCAATTCATGAATCTCGCTGCAATGATTATTTGATGCACATTGCAGTATACTGGAAATGCCTCCACCGAACCTGAGGCAAATACACTCCTTGAATGGTGTGTGTTTGTGCAGATTTTTGCAGCATGCAGTGCAGGCGGATTATGTCATCATTGGCCTCAGTATTTATAGATCTATATAAATACATAACATAGTATAGAGGCATAGTGCACAGTGCTATGCATATGTTATGCACGCTGTATATAGATGCATAGGCATTAGATACATAAAAGCTATAGTACATAATTACATAATGTACATATAGTTTGCACTGTGGTTATGTAACCTCACTGTATTTTATATTCTTGCCAGCTAAATATCTCCCCTTAAGGACAGGTCATTGTTTGCAGAAGACATTTTTGACTGCTGATCTCACATAGCTGTAGGGACTTTCTGGTCACTCAGTAATGAGTTCCCAGAAGAACTTTGCTCATTCTGGCTGAAGCAAAAGCTGAAATGGTCTCTTTTCTACCATGGTAGGCTTCTACAATGAAAGCTAGTACTGAAACCATTTGGGGGTAACAAAAACCTGTGCTGTTTTTGTAAGTCCAGCTGGTGTTGTCTGAAGGGGTTGCAAAAGTCAGCACATGTGACATTACCAGCTGCTGTAGCCAATGCTCTGTAGACAGGAGTGGAGTGGTTAAGATGAAAGAGTTTAATTCCCTGTTTCTCAGAAGTTTTCTCTGACCATTTCAATCCACACTTCCGCATGTGCAATGACAATGAGATTGGAAGTGCAATGTGCACTGACAATGCCTCACAGGGCTGCCCATCTTCTTCATCTCCCCATCCCGGAGCACTCTCACCAGAGCACCAAGGACCCTCGGAGTCAAGACCTCTGCTGTAACTCAGCCCAGACCTTCTGTGACTCTTGTGTTCCCTAGTCCTGTGATGCTTTAAAGGCTGGAAAATATGTTGGGGGCCTTCGTGATCTACAGACCCAGCAGCCAAGCTTAGGGTTGGCAGTCCTGGCCCTGAGCATGTGTCCACGGGCCGGGATTCAACATGCCCCTAAAATGTCAGTATGGGCATGGGCAGCCCTGGTGCTCTTAGCACTAGGCAAAAATATTCCCTGTGGGAGAAGGAGCGACCCTCTGCCAGCCTGGGCATGCTGCTCTGGGTGGTGCTTTTGCAGTGCTGCGAGTCCACAGGCTGGTTTTCCCTCTTGTTATTCCACTGTCTTCCTCTGAGGGAAGCTGGAATGCTTATGTGACTGTTGGCAGAGTCCTGAAATCCTGGGGTGCTAAATGCTGTGTAAGTTTAAGGTATTCGTTTGTTCTGCAGTGGTGTTAAATAGCACAAGGTGTCACCTGTAGGCGAGGTCAGGTCTCGGGGTGATTGCCGTTGCTCAGATGAGCAATGGGAGGAAGCCCAGCTCTGGAGAGTTAGGACTACAGTGGAACAAAAGCAAACATAAGGAAATGTTCCTCACCCAGGACAATTTTTGATGTCACAGCTCTACCTGGGCAAATGCTAACTGCAAACCTGGCCAGGCTGGGGAGGCTCAGTGGGGCTGCTGGGGATAGAGAGGCAGCAGTGCTCTCCTGGCTGCGGCCACCAGTTTTCACTGTGTTCATACACTGTAGGCAGCAAATTCTTACCCACGCTTTCATATTTGCATCTGGGTTAATCACAGGCTGGTTGCCTGAGCATTTCTTTTAGGGTTGGTGGCCCATCTTGGCAATTTCCCCTTCTGATAGGAGGA